CCCCGCCCCCACCCCGCCCCCACTTCCCGCTCCCCCCCGCCCCCCCCACGACGGTCCGGGCGTCCCCGCAGGCTTGTTCCGAGCAGGGCTGGCCGGCGGCCTCATCGAAGGGTCCCAGGGCAAGCGCTTTGCTGACGTGCAGACCCGCTTTGGAGGCCGCCTCCAGGCCGCTCTGGACACCCTGGCCGCGTGGGGGGCGGATCTATTATCTTCACTGCGGTGACGGTTTCACTAGCACACGCACGTGTCAACACACCGCACTGCACTTTCCCCACGAGCGACCTGGGGCGCCTGCGCGGCTCCTCCGTCAAGTGCCCCAGTCCTGACTGCGGCGCAGGCCGGGTGTCACCGGCCGGGATCAAGCCCCGCCGCCGGCTCCGCACCCTCCGCCTGCTTGGGGGTCTCCCTCCCTCTCTGCCCTTCTCCCCGCGCGCTCTCTCAAAAATGAACAAACATTTCAATATAAACAATTCGCTGTCTCAATCACCGCCAACGCAGAGCTTAAAACCCTCTCTCGACGGCACCAATAGCTAAGCTGCGACCCTGAGCACAGCCGGCGGCAGGTGAAGGGGGAGAGGAAGCCGGAGGCGGTTCGCGGTGGCGTCTCGGGTCAGACACACAACCAGACTCGATCTCTGCCTCCCACTCATCGGATCTCAGGAGGGTTACTTAACCTGCCTGTGCCTCAGTTTCTTCATCTGCAAAATAGGGGTAACAGCAGTATGTACCTGATAGGGAGGCAGGGCAGTTCTCAGTAAATAGAAACCGTGGTTACTCTTACTGTGGGTGTTTTGTTCTGGAAGGGGTACACTGGAGCCATGTTTAGTAAAGGCGTGAGCTGGAGAGAAGATCTGGAAGGCTGCCGCCAGACCTCCTGGAGGAGGTGGGTGAGGTACACGGGGGGTGCGAGGCCCCAGGGCGGGGGTGCGGGGTGGGGGACTCACGCCGGTCAGCTCCTGGCTCCCTTGGTAGCCCGCATCGTCAGTGAGGCTGTAGACGGACGTCAAGGATACATCACAGGTGTTGAGGGAGGGATTTTCTGCCTCTGCGGCTCCCCAGGCTTCTTTGGTCTCCTGACGGAGAGAAGGGAAGCCGGTTAGGAGGGAAAGGCTCTTGGGGCGCCTGGAGGGCTCTGTCCGTTCGGCTCCGACTCTTGACTTCCGCTCAGGTCATGAAGTCACACTTGGTGAGTTTGAGGCCCGGCATCCGGCTCTGTCCTGACAGCTCAGAGCCAGAATGGGATTCTCTCTCTCTCTCTCTCTGTGCTCCCCGCCCCCCAAATAAATAAATAAGCCTTTTTAAAAGAGGGAGCAACTCCCAGCAAGCAGGATGCGGGGGTCAGCTGTTCTTCCTGCCCGGGCCCCAGCCTGGCCCTTACTTTGAGGCTGGACGATAAAGACTCATTCTCTCTCTTCTTCATGATCATAAAGCTCTGTGATCGCTAATGTGATGAGGCTCTGGCATCTGCTCCCTCCCTCGCCACACACCAGCACTTCTTCAGGGCCCATGTCCTCACAGAAGTGGTTGTCATGGCAATGGGAGGGTGGGGTCCGGGCCGGGGAGTGGGGGGGTCCCGGAGGGCTCCTGGGAGGTGCTGTGAGAGCTCGATCGCTCGCGCACACACGGACCCCTGCTTTGCTTCTCGGCGGGAGGGGCTGGAATTGTCAGTCCCCGGCCCTCACCACGTGAGCACGAGGACCAGGCTTAGGAAGAGAGACCATGATGGGAATAACCCGGAAATAGCACAGAGCCTCAGAGGGGCATAAGATGCAGCTCATGGAGACTCCAGAATCCACCCCGGGCCCCGCGTGTGCTGGAGAGAACTTTAACGAGAAGCAGGAAATAGTCCACCAAAACCTCCGGTGGCCGAGTCCATCTGAGACTTTCAAGGGATCCAAGGACTTAGAAGGGCCCCTTGGTGTCTGTGCCAGGAGCCTGAGCTGTCCGGGCCTCTCTCTCGCCCTCTCTCCTCCCCCTCAAGCGTGATGCTGGAGCACGTGATCCTTCGTAGGATCCTAGAATCTTTCCAAAAGCCATAGAGGGCACTTTGGAGAAAATTGAATACAGACTCTGCGTCAGAAAATAGTCTATTATGCCAGACTTCGTGGGTGTGATATTGTTATTGTGGTTACGGAAGAGAATGTTCTTGTTGTTGACCTGCACTGGGTGCGCCCAGATAGGGGGTCTAAGACACCCTCCAAGATTTCTGCTCAGCCGGCGCCGGCCTGGCTTGCAGAGCCAAGGACTGGCTAGGAAGTGATGCGCTCTGCAGAGCCCAGCCAAGTCCCCGGGGGGCTCTGGGGAGGGCACCATGCCTGGGAGCCTCTGGATAAGGCCAGGGGTGTGGCTCTGCTTCTAGGAACCCACAGCCTTCCAGCCGCCAGCATCCAAAGTCTCAGCAGATGCCAGAGAGGAAAAGTACGGACTCCCAAGCATGGCTGTGCCTCCGGCCTTCTAGAAAATTAGAGACGCCTCTGGAGAAAATGGCTGGGGAGTCCCTACATTAACCGAGATTAAGTCCCTGCTACTCTATAGAAAAGGACTGGAAATAGAAACTCGGTCTGATTACAGAAAAATAAGGTAGTTAACGTTTCTTAGACATCTATATTTGTATCCTGACATTTATACTATTTCAGAATTAGATTTTTTAAATGAGAATATAAGCATGTATTATTTATGTAAATTAAAAATGAATTTATTGGGGTGCCTGGGTGGCTGAGTCCGTTGAGTGACCGACTTTGGCTCAAGTCATGATCTCACGGTTCGTGGGTTTGAGCCCCTCATCGGGCTCTGTGCTGACAGCTCAGAGCCTGGAGCCTGCTTCAGATTCTATGTCTCCCTTTCTCTGCCCCTCCCCTGCTCACACTCTTGTCTCTCTCTCTGAAAATAAATAAAACATTAATAAATGAGTCTATTGCCCGATTCCATTCACATGAGGTACGTAGTCAGATTCACAGAAACAGAAAGCAGAGTAGTGGCCCTCAGGGGCTGGTGGGAGACAGGAATGGGCATTATTGTTAAATGGGTGTAGAATCAGTTCGAGACATTGAAAAATTCTGGAGATGGATGGTAATGTGGTCACATAACAATGTGAATGTTTTTGACGCTACCGGACCATACACTTTAAATGGTTAAAAATGGCAAATTCCATGTTAGGTATATATTTGCCGCAATAAAAATGAACGTAAAAAAAGAAAAATGTTGCAAAATTACTGTAATACCTGTGATTCTGGATGCTTCTTGAAAACTGGCGCGGTTTGCTTACAGGAAGAAGGCCCCTCCGCCAGTTTATACCCATCTGAGGCGCCTGGATTTGGCTGCAAGGCTCTATTTCTGGACGCCTGTCTGGCCACAACCCAGCTTGCTGCTTCCTTCTCAGCTTAGCCACACGCTGTCGTGGTCGCTCTCTTGATAGAGATCCCAAAAGTGGGGTCGGTGGGCAGCTTGGGCAGCTTGGGCTCTTGCACATTGGGAAACAGGGCATGAAACCAGTGACACTCAGCAGACACCAAGGCAGCCTCGCGCCGGCCCTGCACGTCTAATGAGGTTCTACTTAACCCCTTGGCTTGGGCTTCCTTCGAGGGGAGCCGGCAGCAGCTGTATTCTTCCGGAAGTCTTTCAACAGAAACATTTCCCTCAGCAATCGATCGTCAGAGTCTTCTAGTCTTCACCAACCCCTGCCTCGTCTGAGACTTTCCATCCGCAGGGGGATGCATCGGGGGCCCGGGGGGTGGAATGCTCTGTTATCGTTTTCTCTGGTTCTAGAGAAAGAAAGGAAGAAGCGTATATAATTCCAAGGGGTTTGCGAAGCAGAGTCACTGGATGTAGGTCCCTGTGGTGAACAGTGGATGGCAGGTGTCATATTGTCACAGTCGGTTGTCTGTTTCCTTCCCAAATGTCCACAGCCCAAAGCACCAAGAGGCAGGATTTCTGAGGCAGCATCAGCTGCCTTTTTTGAGAACATTATAATTAAAAGAAAGAAAGTATTCATCAAAAAGACACAACGAGGGGCACTTGGGTGGCTCAGTCGGTTAAGCATCTGACTTCAGCTCAGGTCATGACCTCACGGTTCATGGGTTCAAGCCCCGCTTTCGGATCACAGCTCGGAGCCTGGAACCTGCTTCGGATTCTGTGTCTCCCTCTCTCTCTGCCCCTGCCCGCCCTCCCCCCATCTCTCTCTCTCTCTCTCTCAAAAATAAAACATTAAAAAAAAAAAGACACAATGAAGGGAATGAAAGGACAAACCGAGGACTGGAAGCCCCAGCGAGGACAGTGCCATGAACCTGTCCACCCCCCCCCCACCCCTGCAGTTTCTAACTCTTCCACATCAAGTGTGCTTTACGTCTTAGACATGTTTGTTCACCCAGAAACTCGCCTCGGGCTGGTGATCGTACGTAGTTGATAAAAGTGACTTTTTTTGGACTCAATCACTTGCACTGATCAAAAGCCCGAGCGTAAGAGAGAGGACAAGTGGGAGTGGGCTCCGCGGCTGGCGCAGAGAGCGCCATGGCGACAGTGGCGACAGTGACAGCTCTGGACTGTCAGACGAGGGAGTTTAATTCCACGGACAACGGGAAGCCACTGATTTGTTGTTTGTTTCGTTTGTTCGTTTAAGAGTGCTTGACGTTGAATTTGCCTCTCATTGCAGCCATGAGTGCATGTCGCCCCATCACTAGACACCAGACCCTGTCTCTGTGTCTTCCACGATGACTGTCACAGCGCTTGACTGGTGCATGACAGGTGCTCAAGAAATGAGTGCTCAGTAGATCAGTGCACGAGCCAGTCGTTCAGCTGGAGGCGGCAGAGGTAGACGGGGCCACGTGTAAACATGGAGACATTTCTCTTCCGAACCCAGAGTGGCTCTCCGGTAGGTCGTCTAGACCGTGTGTGGGGAAGACGAATTCCTTCCGTGTGGAGCTGGTCTGAGAAACAAGAACATCCACGCTTCACATCTTTCCAATCCTGGAGAAATGCTTGGAAAGGAATAAAAAGTCCCGCAATCAGCAAGTATTTCTTGAGCACCTCCTCCGTGCTAGCGCCGCTGACGGACCTTTGGATAAGTGTACACGGGAGAAACCGCACCTGCGCAGAAGGGTAGCTTTTCCAGTCCAGCAACAATTGGGGGAAGCATCGAACTGGGGTACTGAAAACAGCATGTAGTCTTGGCAAAGCTAAGGGAGGTTACCCAGCGGGGAGGTAAGACTGGGACATGGTCCTGAGATGGGTTGGATTGGATAAGAGAGCAGGTTGGCCTTGCGGACCACACGGCCCTGGCACCGCCCACGCCGCCTAGTCGTGGTCACCCCCACCGTGTTCTTCGACATCGCCATGGACGGCGAGCTGTTTGTAGACAAATTTCCAGAAACAGCAGAGAGCTTTCGTGCTCTGAGCACTGGGGAGAAAGGATTTGGTTACAAAGGTTCCTGCTTTCACAGGATTTTTCCTGGATTTATGTGCCAGGGTGGTGACGTCACACGCCATCACGGCACTGGCGTCAAGTCCCTCTATGGGGAGAAATTTGATGATGAGAATTTCGTCCTGAAGCACACGGGTGGCATCCTGTCCACGGCGAAGGCTGGACGCAACACGAACGGTTCCCAGTTTTTCACCTGCACCGCCAAGCCCGAGTGGTTGGGGGCCAAGCACGCGGCGGATGACAAGGTGAAGGAGGGCATGAACCCCGTGGCGGCCAGGGAGCGCTTTGGGTCCAGGAACCACAAGCCCATCAAGATCACCATTGCTGACTGCAGACAAATCTAATACATTTGACTTGCGTTTTATCTTCACTCCCAGACCATTCCTTCTGTAGCTGGAGAGGCAGCCCCTCGGCCCCATCTGCTCGCATACAATCACTGCTCCCGCTGCAGTTCCGTGGTCCGTGCTTTCCTTCACGCCCCACCCCCCCAGCTGGATTGCAGAGTGACGTTCACGATCATGAAATAAAAGCTAAACACCAACAAAGCAGACTGGAGGGTGTGTGCGGAGAAGTTGTCATCCATTCCCGCAGCCCCCCGTGCTCAGGCACCAGGCTCAGCGGTGGAAACAGACAACCGTCCTCAGGAGCTCGGGTCTGGGAGGCTGAAACAAATACCGGAACCGTGTGCTATTCCACAAGAATGTGAAGTCCCAGAACGTGGAAATCTCTGTCCTGTTTGTCGCCGTGTCGCCGGTACCTAGAACCGTGCAGGCAGGACCCGGGCCTCCACAAACGCACGCCGCCGTGGACAGACAGAACTATAGTAACATTGATAGCAGCCCTGTATTAAGCACAAACTTGTGCCAGACAACGTGCTTAGAGGCTCACACAGCCTTGCTGGACCTCCAGCATCCGGAGAGTGCTGGAATGATCTCATTTCACAGGTCTGAGAACCCAGGCTCTACGGAAATGACGCCGGCCTCCGGGCTGCACCCCGTGAGCGGCCGACACCGAATTCACCGCTGCACAACCCCACAAACACCCTTTTCCGGAACGCTGTCTGGGGGCGTCGTCTGGCAGCTCTTGGAAAAGTGCAGGGCGAGCCCCGAGGCACGGCGGCCACGGCAGGGACACAGCGACGTGCACGGAGCAGGGCCCGAGGGGCCGCGCCCGCGAGGGACGGATCACGGTTCTGGCGCCTCGAAGCTCGGGGCTTGGCGGCTTCCCGGAGGCAGGACCTCGTTTGTCGCCTGGAAGTAGAAAGGATGGCGGTGGCCCCGAGACGAAGAGCTTTCCCCTGGTTGCGAGCTCGCCGGTGCCCCGATCCCGTCCCCGGCGCTGCGCGGCCGCCGGGAACCGGCCGCCGCGACCCCTTGCGGTGCCGAAGCCGGGTTCGCGCCGCGGGCGCGCGCGGGCGCTGCAGAGCCGGGGGCGGGGCCTGGCCGCGAACTACAATTCCCAGCGGACATCGCGCGGAGCAAGACGTTTCCGGTCGAGCTCACTTCCGGCCTCCGGGCTGCTGACGCTCTCTTCCGGTCTTGGTGGCCCCGCGAGAGGCCCGTGGGGTGCGCACGGTGAGCGCCGAGCCCCGGGGGCGCGGAGGCGGGCGTGCGGGCGGACGCGCCGCTCGGCCACGGCGGGCGCGGAATAGGCGCACCGGCGGAAGACGTGTCTTCCCGGCGAGACGGGGCGCACCGAGCGGGTCGGGCCGGAGGGACCCCGAAAGGGATGTGGGCCAAGAGGAGCGGCGCCCCGGGGAGGGTGGTGGGGGGGACCCCTCGAGCGCGCGCCGGGACCCGCGGGGTCGGGTGGAGGAGCGGGGGCTCCCGGCCCGCGGCGGGAAGGGGGCGGACGGGCAGCCTGGCGGCGGGGCCCGCGCTGTGGCCGGTGGGGAAGGGGCTGCGGCCCTGGGGAGCTGCACTTGCCGAGGGGACTCTGCCGGGAAGATCGTGGCGCCCTCACGTGCGTGGGTCGCCCGCCGCCTCGGCGTTTCTCTCCGCAGATGAGGCTGCTGGCGGCCGTGCTGTTGGCTCTGCTTGCGGCCAGCCAGGCGGAGGAAGGAGCCCGGCTTCTGGCCTCCAAATCGCTGCTGAACAGATACGCTGTGGAGGGGCGAGACCTGACCTTACAGTACAACATCTACAATGTTGGCTCGAGGTGAGGGCCCGGGGCGCAGGGGGGTCTTCTCGGGGTTCTCAGGCTTCGCGGCTGGGACCAGAGACCAGCAGAGCGAGCGGATGTTCTCCTGGACCCGCTTTCACCGAAGGTACCGGAGCCATAGGCCGCTTTGTTGAGTCGAGAGAGTTTCTGAGTGAGGAGGGGCAAGAAATAGGGTCAAACCGGGAGAGGAAGATGCGAAGGCAGAAAACACACGATGCTTTGTTACCTGGCGGGTTCCGGGTTCAGCTTCCTTTCGCCCAACACCCTGTAGGCACGTTTGCTCCCTTTGTTTAACTTTATTCGTTGCCGTTGTCTCTTAGTCTTCTTTCCCTCCGTACCTACACACGCAGACACACGGAGATTGGGGCGAGAATGAATTTTGGCCCGTTCCTTCCCAGATATGAGATTATTTGGTGCTTCTTGGCCGTAGTTTCCAGCCCTTGACCGAGATTCTTCAGTGCAAAACAAACCCAGGTTTCAGTGTGATTTCCATCTGTCTTCTGTAGTTCTGATATTTTAGGACAAGCAGGCAGTTTGATTGCAGATCACTTTTTTATTATAGGTTTTTAAAAATGTTTTTATTTATTTTGAGAGAGAGAGAGATGGAGCGTCCCCAGGGTAGAGGCAGACAGAGAATCCCAAGCAGGCTCCATGCTGTCAGTGCAGAGCCCAGTGCAGGCTCGATCCCACGAACCTTGAGATCGTGATCTGAGCCAAAACCAAGAGTTAGTCGCTTAACTGACTGAGCCACCCAGGAGCCCCTGATTGCTTTTTTGTAAGATTTTGTTTTTAAGTAATCTCTCCACCCAAAATGGGGGCTTGAACTCAACCCTGAGATCAAGAGTGTCACGCTCTACCAACTGAGCCAGCCACGTGCCCTAATTATTGATCAGTTTTGTATCCATTATGAACTAACCTCTTTTGTTGGTTTTTGTTTGTTTTTAAATTTTTATTTCTGAGAGAGAGACAGCATGAGCAGGGGAGGGTCAGAGGGAGAGGGAGACACAGAATCTGAAGCAGGCTCCAGGCTCTGAGCTGTCAGCACAGAACCCGACACGGGGCTCAAACCCACAAACCACAGGATCATGGCCTGAGCTGAAGTCGGACGCTTAACCGGCTGAGCCACCCAGGCGCCCCAGTACTAAGCTCTTTTGTCCCTCTGTCTTACAGCGCTGCATTAGACGTGGAGTTATCCGACGACTCCTTCCCTCCCGAGGACTTTGGTATAGTCTCTGGAATGCTCAATGTCAAATGGGACCGAATTGCCCCGTATCCTCTTGACACTGGGTGATGAAAGCTGGAGGCTGGGGAGCGTTGGGGACGACGCGGAGACATAGCCAGCAGAGCAGCGGGGTCCTTTCAAACAGCCTGGCTGTGCGTGGCTTCCCTCCATCACCTCCCTGGATGGGAGGGATAAGGGAAAGTGGTGTGAGTTCGTGTGGACCTGAGGAAGGAGGTTCCTCAAGTCCAGGTTATAAGGCCCCATAACGTCCTATATGGGAAGGTGTAGACACCTAGATTGCCGGCGAGGGTACGAGTTCTCTCCGTGGTTTTTCTGTTCTTGTCCTGTGCTTTCAGCCTTCCGGCATCAGGCCCCGGCAGGCTCTGTGGGCGTGGTCGGCCTCCCATCCGTAGTAAATGCCTCCAGAAGCCTCCATGCCAGGGACATGTGGGCAAGCTGGATGTTGAGTGTGGCCGGGGCCCCTCATGCGTGGCTGGGACGGCTCCACAGGACAGCACGTGTTTTTAGGAAGGGGTCTGCATTGGCGGCATCGCGGGGTGTTGCAGGCGAAGTCACCTCGCGTCGACCGCTCCCTTGGCAAATGGCCGTTTAGTCTGCAGGTGGGAAGGGGGTTACAGCTGCAGCCTCGTCCCTTCCTTCCTTAACCAGCGGGCCAGCGCTAGCAATGTCTCCCACACGGTGGTGCTGCGCCCTCTCAAGGCCGGCTACTTCAACTTCACCTCGGCAACTGTCACCTACCTGGCGCAGGAGGACGGGCCTGTGGTGGTGAGTGGTCCGGGCCGTGGCTGACGCGGCCTAGGTCGACTCCCCTTTGGGAACTCTGGCAGAAAACCTGCAGGGCGTTTCCTCACTAAGTTCCGAGGGAGGTAAGAGGGACCAGAAGCTGGGGTGCCTTGAACTAAGGGGGACTCATCGGTTGAACATCCTTGTGATCTCACGGTTTGTGAGTTCGAGCCTCGCATCGGGCTCTGTGCTGATAGCTCAGAACCTGGAGCTGCTTCAGATTCTGTCTCTCTCCCTCTTCCTCTGACCTTCCCCCACTTGTGCTCGGTTTCTCTCGCTCTTAAAAATAAGTACATACATACCTACACGTTGGCTTCAGTAAGGAACGTATGTTTCAAGTTGTAAAGATTCAGAATAGAGCAGCCGAAGTGGTGGGAGGGGGACCCTGAGCCTTCCCTCCTCTCCGTGCCTCCTGCTTGCCTTCAGCCTGGGATGTGACATTTGCCACCCGGTTGATGGTCACCCTCGCCCTTCCCGTCCATGCTCTGTGCCGCCAGCAGGGCAGTCTTGGTCTCCGCGGTTGGTGGCCCTTTCCCTTGCGTGGTAGGCGCCCGCCGCGTGTGCTCTACGTCTGGCCTTCCGGCATGTTCTGTCACAGAGGCCTTCCTCCCTAGTGAGGCCAAGCCCCTTCCCGGCCCTCTCTCGTTCTTTCTGTTTGTGGTGGTCCCTCTCCCCGACTTGAGCGTCCACTCGCTCCAGGCCCAGCTTTGATCGCAGCCCCTGCTTCTGTGTCCTGCTTCCACGCCCCCTGCCTTTTCCCTACGTGCTCCCTGAGCAGCCGCTCGCCGACCGCACGCACGTCACCTTCCGCAGCTCCCCCAGTCCCGGCCGCTGGAGCAGTGACTGCTGTCTCCGTCCTTACGTGCGGGTCTGAAGCCCCAGCCTCAGCCTCAGTCGTACACCCCTTGAGGCCAGGGACCGCGCTTGGGTTAGATGTCTCTCTGTTTCTCCCGTGTAGTAGGAAATCAGTGGCCACCAATCCTTCAAAGGGTTGAGGAGAAGGTCAGCAGATGTTTATTGAGCCCTGGCAGCGTGCTAAGAGCTGGGGACACCGAGAACATGGGACACCGTCCTGGTCCTCAACGCTTAGGCCTTGAATTCATGAGGGCCTCTGGCGGGACCGTACAAGTGGGCCGTAGGCCACGCGGCGAGTACACGGTGGGGCCGAGACTCAGCGGCGTCAAGTGTGGAACTAAACCCTAACGTTCTCTGAGACTCACTGCACTTTTTCTTTTTTTAATGTTTGTTTATTTCTGAGAGAGAGCGAGAGAGACAGCGTGAGCAGGGGAGGGTCAGAGAGAGAGGGAGACGCAGAATCAGAAACAAGCTCCAGGCTCTGAGCTGTCAGCACAGAGCGCAACGCGGGGCTCGAACCCACGAACCGCGAGATCCTGACCTGAGCCAAAGCCGGACGCTTAACCAACTGAGCCACCCAGGCGCCCCTCTTTTTTAAAAATTTTTTTCATAAACCACGTAGGACCATGTTCTTGTCACTGGAGCGCAGCCCTCACATCCTGTATCCTTTCTGCCTCCAGAGCCCATCGTGGGGCTCCATTTCTGCCTGGTGCTTGATGGGTTAAGATACAGAAGATCAAAGGCTCGACTGCCCCTTAGAGGGTGCTTGTTTGCAGGGCTGGCCTGCTCTCCAGGCAGGAATGCGGGCGGCCCCAGCCCCCCCTCAAGGGCGCCCTTGGGTGGGGCTTTGTGCTCTTCAGAGTCCTTCTTATTTCATCTGAGCCTCATGTCATTTGTGAGTATGGAAGAGTCTTTCCACTTGAGGGGTGGGGGGAGTGATTGCCAAGGGCAAGTCATTCCATCACACACCTCACCCTGCGGAGGCCACTCTCTTCGGAGCCCAGGGCGCACAAGGAAGGAGGGTCACTTCGATCGCGGCTGCACACCTGCCTTGTTTATGAGAAGCCCCTGGCGAGGCTCCTGGCTCCTGGCTCCTCTTGGCGAAGCGCTGAGAATCCTCTTACTCCCTCCATTTCAGGAGCTGGTCTACATCTTCTTGACGCTCTCTTTTTTTTTTAATTTTTTTTTTCAATATTTTATTTATTTCTGAGAGAGAGAGTGTGAGCAAGGGAGGGTCAGAGAGAGAGGGAGACACAGAGTCATAAGCAGGCTCCAGGCACTGAGCTGTCAGCACAGAGCCCGATGCGGGGCTCGAACCCACAAACTGTGAGATCATGACTTGAGCTGAAGTCAGACGCATAACTGACTGAGCCCCCCAGGCGCCCCGACACTCTTGAGCCTTGGCGAGCCAGGAGGCTCCGCTGAGGGGGCAGCCAGGCCTGCCTTCTCACACGACAGGGACCGGATCTGCCCTGATGGCCCTCTCTTCTCCTTGCAGGTTGGCTTCACCAGCGCCCCCGGGCAGGGCGGCATCCTGGCCCAGCGGGAGTTTGATAGGAGATTCTCCCCCCACTTTGTAAGCCCCACGGCGCCCCTGTCCCTTACTGTCCCCTGGGGGAAGGGTGCCCTCTCGGTGCTGGGACCTGTTGGTGTCCTTAGGAGATTTGTTCAGTTTGTGGGGCCTCGTCATACCTGTGGTTTCTGGGGTGTGACAGCAGCCGGCAGACGTCCTCTGTCCCCGTGGCGTCAGCAAGGAGATCCCAGTGGCCAGAGCCACACACCCGCCCTTTCTCTGTACTCAGCCTCAAGCCAAGTTCCGTCTTGGGGCCCTGGGTCTCTTTGGAGGCTAAGAATATCTTAAATTCAGAGAGTCGCAGGGCGCTGGGCCAGCCCATGGGTGCTGCTGGGGGCTGGTCTCTGAGAAGGTTCTTTGAAGGTTCACCTGAACTGGCAACTGAGGAAATTCACATTGCCTTCTATTCGTGAATAGTCACGAAGCTCCTAATTATGTGCTCCGTTCTGGGCTTTGCTTTGGGAAGACAGATGACAGAGACACACACTCGTCTCAGGGGAGTAGAGGGCACGTGGAGGACTCGGGACAAGTCAGCAGAGAGAAGCGGGCCGGGACCCAGACCGCAGACGGTAACGGAGCCCGCAGCAGGAGCATCTGACTAGTCTTCGGGAGTCGGGGTGGGGTTTTGGGGGGAGGTGGCGTTCGACCAGCCAGAGGAGGTAGCGAAGGGCAGGCATCTTGGGTAGGGGGAGTAGCTCGAGGCTTCGCCAGGCTGGAGAGCAGAAGGCCAGGTAGGGGAGAGGAAGAGGGGCCTGGAGGTGTGGGCCGGGCAGCTGGTGTAGGGCTGGGCCTCGCCCCCTTGAGATGGTCTGGGAGAGAAGCCTCTCTTCAGCCTGGGTCAGGTCAGGGGAGGCCTTGGGCTCCACAGCTTGGAAGACACGGTGGCCCTGTGGTCAGAGGAGCCTTTCCACTGAGGTTCTGCCGAAAATGTAGGGGGGGAGTCGCTCGCCCCCCCCTTCCCTTCCCGGCCCTCTTGTGCCCTGACTTCTGTGCCCACCCGTGTTGTCCTCCACAGCTGGACTGGGCGGCCTTCGGGGTCATGACCCTCCCCTCCATCGGTGTGCCGCTGCTGCTCTGGTACTCCAGCAAGAGGAAGTACGACACCCCCAGGGCCAAGAAGAACTGAGCTCGGGCGGCCATGGCCCTTCCTCCCCAGGAGACCCAGGTGCGGATCTCGGGTGCGGCGTCTGCTCCCCTCGCCCCGGCCACCCCTCCCGGATCCCGCCTGCTCTCCAGCAGAGTGAAGGGCCCGGGCCGCGCTTCCATCCTGAAGCCATACCCACAGGAACGCCTTCAGCAGTGAGCCTCGAGGGCCCTCGGTGCCCACCGCCGAGCGCAGGGAGGACCCTGAGGGGTCCAGCAGGGGCCTGACGCTGCCCCCACCCCCGCCCTCCCCTTCCAGAAGAGGCTTGGAGACGATGTGAAGGCCGAAGGACTCTTGGAGGCTTGCCCGGTCTCTGTTCCAGGTCAGGGACCCGCGGTTTTCTAATAAAAACGGATGCCACACCGCCGTGTCTGCTTTCCCGTCACCGGGGTGAGCTCGGACCCTGGGTGCCCCCGCCTCCTTGCTGGGGGGGCCGTGGTCCTGCTACCATGGGGGGATGTCTGTTCCCTTCGGACACCTTTGCTTTCATCCCCTGCTTCCGTCTTCACCCTCACCAGGCACCACGTGCCGCCCTGAACCTCCCCTGCCCGTGAGCTCCTGTCCGCGGCCGGAGCACAGGGGAGTGGAAGGGCCGTCTGCACACCGGCAGCTGTTCTCCGTCCCCAGATGGCGTTCTGGTCTCAGTTATTCACTGACCAGTCTCAGAAAAGGTCTTTTAATGCCTGGTTCTAGTCCTTTCTTTGTTTAAGAACTAGCTTGCTTTTTCTGTTTAATTAAGCAATCTGCACCCAATGTGTGTCTTCACCTTGGGACCCTGAGATCAAGAGCCACATGTTCTACCGAGTTAGCCATCCGGGCACCCCAAGAACTAGCTTTTCTTTCTTTTTTTTTTTTTAATGTTTTATTTATTTCTGAGAGAGAGAGAAAGAGAGAGAGCGTGAGCAGGGGAGGGTCAAAGAGAGAGGGAGACACAGAATCCGAAGCAGCTCCAGGCTCTGAGCTGTCAGCACAGAGCTCGACGCGGGGCTTGAACCCACGAACCGTGAGATCATGATCTGAGCCGAAGTCGGACACTAAACGACTGAGCCCCCAGGTACCCCGAGAACTAGCTTTTCTTAACTGGAAGTCAGACGGCGGAGCGGCAGCCCTGAGGTGCGCCCGAGGCACGGCCCGTGGAAGGCCGGGGCCCTGCTGCAGCAGGCGGCGCGGGGAGAAGCCGCTGTGCGCGCACTCGGGCCACGCCAGGAATGCCGTGGGCCGAGAACAGCCTCCCGGGCGCCAGGGAGACCCAGCAAACACCCGCTTTGTTCCTGCCGCCCTTTCCCAGTTCAGTTCTGGGGGGGGGGGGACCTTCCCCGGCCTGCGCTCCTGCTCTCCTGCGTTCAGCGGGCTCTGGGGCCCCAGGAAGGATGAAAAGGACGTGGAGGCAGCGGGAGGCTCCAGACGGGGTAGCCCTCCAGCAGCTCCCCTCCCTGCTGCAGGGGCTGCGGCTCGGATCCCCCGGGACCCCCCAGGTCAGAGGGCGAGGAGGCTAGCCTTGCTTTTGTTCATTGTGTCCCCCTGGGGAGACCTGGGACTCGCTCAGGAGAGAGGGGAGACGCTTGGGGCGAGGACGCGGGAGGGAAGAAGAGGGGCTGGGTGGCCGGGCCCCCTGCCCCTGGGGGCGGCACCGCTTTCCGCCCTGTGGTCGGAGGAGCCCGCCGGCAGGGGGAGCGGTGTGGGACCGGAGGCCCAAGTCTGGAAGGCGCCGCGGGAGACTTCACCGGACGCAGGAGGTACTGGCCCCCCGGAGGCCGGGCCGTCGTTCTGCGGAGCCCCGCACTCCAGGCCCCCGTGGAGAAGGAGGCTGGGGGGCGGGGGGTACCCGGGTCCGAACCAGATGACAAGAGAAGCATTGTGAAGGCAGTTAGTGTCGCCAGCACCTTGAACCGAGGCCAGAGCCAGACACTTCATCTGGAGAGATCAGGTTCTCTGGAGTCAGGACGGAATGGGAGCCTCCTGTAAGCGGTGGAATGTTGGAGAAAACCAGAGCCTCTGAGACCTACAGAGACTTAGCTGGACTTTAGGATTGAGCCCCTCTGAGCTTGAGGAAATGGAATGGGAGATGAGTAGCAGACAGCACCCCCATGGAGACCACGGAGGGAGGCGCGACCCTGGCCTGCGCCCGCATTTGCAGGGGAGAGGGAGAGGAAGCACATCTTCCCTGAAGACTGGGCACCAGCCGGAGGGGCTCCTCCCGAAAAGGCAACACAGATAGCGACCCAGCTGTCAGCGTGTTCCAGATCCTCCCCACCCCTGGAGACCCGCCCTCTGTCTGCCCCTGGCGTCGTGCGGCGGACCTCCGGCTGGCACCGGCCCACCCGCTCGCCCCGCCCTGGCGTCCTGAGGAGCCAGGTGCCCAGATTTCCACCCACGTTACACACTAGGCTCGGGATTCCAGCTGAAGAAGGCCCGCGGGGAGCGGGTGTAAGAATGTCCGAGAGGCTGGGGGTAACGGCGGTCCTGAGACAGGATGGGTGTGTCCAGGCCTCGCCCCTGGGAGCCGGCGGCAGCCCCCGGCCTCCGGGGCTCCTGGGACAGCCAGCACTCCTCGGAGTCTGTGTCCTCCTGATGTCACAGATGTTCACTTAGAGGACCCCGGGGACCCCCAGGACCCCGCGCCAGTAAAATGAGGCCGCATCCCGTCCCCCTGCGGTCCTGTGGTTTGGGCCCAGCCCGGAGGACAGGGTGTGGGACTCCAGGCGCCAGGCAGCGGCCGCCATCCTCTCGTCTAGAGGGAGAAGCTGAGAGCCGGGACCCACTGACTGGATCCCCTAAGTAATCCCCTCGTTTCATAAATCAGGGAGGATGTGGGCGCGGCCCCCACGGCAGGAGGCAGCTAGCGCGACTGAGGTCCCCACTGACCAGGTGAGGACACCAGGGCGACAGGTGGCTCTGCGGCTCTGGATGGTGAGACCTTTCCGGCAGGCCACAGGGCCCAGAGGAGGAGGGCCGGGGGCCATCAGGTGGGGACGTCCCCTGCCCTGGGGAAGGGGTGCGGAGCCCAGCGGGAAGCCAGGCCCTCGTAATCGCCCCTCCCCCGCGGTAACCTGCCTCTTAAAGGCACCAGTGGCAGCGGCAGCGGCAGTTTGGAAGCCAAATTCCAAAGGGGCCAAAGGACCTCCCTGAGGCCGCCAGGCCCCTGCTGTCAAGAAGGTTTGCAGCCGTGGGCCTTCCCCGGGGTGTCCCCGCTCTCCCCTCCTCAGCTCACACCCTCTCACACCCTGCCCCATCCGAGGGAGGGTGAAGGTTCCCGGGACCGGGGGTCTCACAGCGTCCCCCTTCAGGGTGGCCCCAGCTCTGCTTCCCGTACCCGGTTCCACACGAGCCCGAACCCCATGGCCCTGCTTTGTTCTGGGAGCGCCGCGGACCCTCACACCCACGATGGCACCCAAGGGGTTAAACAGGTCTGGGCACAGCAAGGTCTAGGGTGTTTGAAGTAGGGCGGGGAAGGGAAGGGCTGGGGCAGTTGAAGAGGCGGCTGGTCCGGACTGGACTGGAGGCCCCCTGTCTCCTGTGCAAACCTCTGGACCATGAGCAGCGCCCTTAAAAGGACCAAGAGAGGCTCCCCCACTGGGGTGCTGGGCTGGGGTCCCGGAGGCACTCCCTGAAGAGGGGCTCTTCCCTGTCTCGAAGTCACCAGCCGGGAGCAGGAACGGGGCCCCCGTCTCTGGGAGATCTCCCGGGCCTGGTGAGTTCCCCTCTTCCCTCCCCGGGTCCTCACCCCCCGATTGGGGGTCCCTGTGCAGGCAGAGCCCCTCAGGGAGCCTCCACACCCAGGAAGGCGTGGAACCGCGGGGGCCTCTGCCCCGGCCTGCTGCAGTCCGCTCCCGTTTGTAATGAGAGATTATGGGGGGGCACGCGGGTGTGTCGCTCGGGGATCACAAGCACGGCCAGCAGTAATCACACCACTTGTGGGACAGGGGACCAGACCTCCACATACGTCCCTAATCCTGATGGTTGTGTGGGCCCCGCAGACCGTAATCCCTATGCGGACAGTGAGGTTTAGGGGAGTTAACTGACCCAGACAGTTCAGCCAAGTGTGGCACTGAGTCTTCAGACTCAAGTCCGTCTGACACCAGAGTCTATTACGTCATCTTTGCGTCTTCCTCAGGAGGTATGGCAGGCAGGGTGGCTCTTCGAGTCTAAAACCTTGAGAGCTTCATTCATTTAGAGTCCCCTTCCTCTAGGGCCTCACCTAGTTCCCCTCGTCCTTGGGAATGACTTGTGAGATTTAAGGGGCCACCAGTTCACCCCTGAGAGCTGGGGACGCCCAGATTCCAGATCACCCCATCCGCCAGCTGAGGGCTTCCCTCTCTACCTACCACGCTTGATGTCCCCTGAGATCCGAAGGGTTAATTCCCTGGGCCACAGTGGCCAAAGTCTTCTCAGGTGTGTCCCTCTGAACCTCAGACCCTCCCCTGCCCCGCCCTCTGGCATGACGCCCTGAACCCCTGAACGCAGGCCAACAAGCAGACGGGCCGAGCTTCCCCGGGCCCAGCGGGAAGGGAGACGGAGCCCCGGCCGCCAGCTCCAGTCTGCAGACCAGCTAAACAAAAAAAGTGGTCACAAGTGGGAGCCCAGCACAATGCCTGACTGATCTGGGAGCCCGGCATGGGGAGAGGAGGGCCGACCTGGGGCGGGGGGTTGGAGATGACGCCTGAGCGCTGTCTTAAGTAGGAGGAGGTGTGGTCACACTAGCAGCCCAGGGACGCCTGGCTGGCCCCGACTTCCGGAATGAAGTATTAACAATAAAGTCGATAATGCTGCCCTGTGGCTCCTGGAGGCTGGTGCCTGTCAGGCGTCAACCTGGCAGCTGATGTGGGCACACAGGTGGCTTTCGTCCGTCCCGGCCCCTGCCCCACTAAGGGGAGGTCCGCATCCTGTCACTGCATGTGTGCGTAGAACCTTCTGGGTCCTCGTCTCCATGCCTGACACCTGGTAGGTGCTAAAGCAATGTCTGCTGAACGAGTGAAAACCATCTGTATGCACCCGAGGCTTTGTTCTTTGGCATCGTGACCCTACTCCCCGGCCCGACAGGAAGTCAGGGGAGGACAGTGAGCCTCAGGACACCGGGGTTCAGCACAGGGCGCCGCCTCCCGGGCCTCACGCTGAGGCACGGGGCGGCTACAGCCGAGTCCGGTGAGGCGCAGGGTGGTGGCCAGGGCCTTCCCGATCGGAGGCTGACGGAAGCCCCGCTCTGGCCCCGTGTGCCGCACAACCGTTGGATTCATGGTTTACTCTCTCCTGGAGAAGAGGCCGCCAGGCTAAAATTTGAACCATCAAAGGGTTTTCCGTGACCCTGTCCCCGCAGGGCTGGGAGAAGCCCACGGACCGTGACATCTGGCTCTCCCCTCCTTGCCATTCTTTATTGTCTGGTTCTTTTGGGGTCTTCCTCACAAATGCCCCCCCTTGGGAGACTTCGGACCCCAAAGCCAGAGCCAGGAAGCCCCCCCGGCTGTGACAGGGCCCGCCAGCATTGCCACGGCCACTGTGCCTGGCGAGGTGGTTACCCGCGGCGGTTCCTACCTGGCGCTTGCTGGCGGCCAACGTCAGCACGGCCCCGCCTGCCTCCACCCCTCCCTCAGATCTCTAAGATCACTGGCGCGGAGTAGAAAGGACAAATGTAACTTCTTTGGGACCCTCACCTAAGGGCTTCCTTTCTGTGGCTGGGCTGGTGAAGGGGCCGACCTGGGGGTGGTCAGTTACAGAGTTGCCCAGTGTCTCTGTTCGGGAGCTTGTTTCGGGCTCTGGGCTCTACCATGTGACAGATGTGCTTGGAAAGCTCAGCTGCGCCTCCTACAGCCCTGTGACCTTGAGCAGGTTACTTTACGTCTCTGTGCTGCGTGTCTCTTCGTGTGTAAAATGGGGACAATGTATTTCTAGAAATGGCTGTGAGGATCCCACTAGATGATGTAGGCGCTCGGGGCACCTGCGTAGCTCGGTTGGTTGAGGATCCAACTCTTGATTTCCAGCCAGATGATGACCTCACCATTCATGGGATCAAGCCCTGCATCAGGCTCTGTGCTCTCAGTGCGAGATTCTCCCTCCCCCTCTCTCTGCCCCTCCCCTGCTCTCTCTCTCAAAATAAGTAAATAAAAACTTAAAAAAAAAAAAAGCGTAGGCACTCATTACGGGTTAACTCTTCCCCCGTGGGCTCCAGATGCTACTTAGGAGATGGGCGTGTTGGGGTCTTCTGAACCCTGACCCCAGGCTGACTGCCCTACGCCAGCTCGGTGTGCACTGAGCCTTAACACCTTCGGTCTCTTTTTCATCCTTCCTGAGATTTCGAAACCCAGTTGCTCTAAATCAGGAGTCTGCAAACCTTCTCTGTAAAGACCCAGATAATAAATATTTTAGGCTGTGTGGGCCATATGGTCTCTGTCACAGCTACAACTTTGCTGTCGTAATGCAGCAACAGCCACAGACCATGTGTAAGCGAACGGGTGCGGCTGGGTTCCGAAATAACCTTTATTTATGAACACTGGAATTTGAATTTCATATGATTTTTATGTGTCAAAAGTAGTGTTCCTCCTTTTTTAATGTTTTTTTTAAATTTTTATTTTTGAGAGAAAGAGACAGAGTATGAGCGGGGGAGGAGCAGAGAGAGGGGGAGACAGAGAATCGGAAGCAGGCTCCAGGCTCTGAGCTGTCAGCCCAGAGCCCGACGCGGGGCTCGAACTCAGGGACCACGAGATCATGACCTGAGCCGAAGTCGGATTCTCAACTGCCAGGTGCCTGGCAGTGTTCTTCTTTTGATTTCCCCCCCCAACCATTTATAGAAGGTAGCAGGACAGGTTTGGGCCCCGGTTCTATAGTCCGCCAGCCGCTGCCTTAAGCCAGCAGTGCTCGCTTGCTGTAGGACGGGAGCCTGTTGGCGGCCGGGAGTCCCCACTGCAGTCGTGTTCCTCATGCTCTCCCGCTGCCGAGAGCGAGGCGTGGGGCGGCTCCTGTCCCGGCCCTTCCGGCCCGCTCTCCATTAGTGCAGGCCTGGCCTCCGCTCAGCCTTCAAGTACCAACGACGGCAGTTGTTAAGTACTGGCCCGTGCGGAGCACCGTGTGGGGCACGTGATGCACGATGTTGTCATCGAGCCTCTCGGCGGCCCTGCAAGGGAGGGCTGCGGGGCCCCCATTCCACAGACGCTGCCGAGCAAGCTCCCGGGGCCCTGCAGCGCGGGCGCCGGGCTCGCAGTCGGCCGGGTCTCAGAGCCGGTGTCGCACCCCGAGGAGGCCGTGATCTGAGACTTTTGAATCGCGGATGCCCGTGTCTCCCGGACACGTACCGGGTGGGTGCTCCCGCCTCAGCGCCCAGGGTGCCTAGTGAATCACCGATGACCAGGCAGAAGCAGGCGGCCTGATGGCGTGTGCCGGTGGGGGGGCTGAGTGAGGCCGTCGTGCGTGCCGCTGCCTGGCACCACCTCCTGAGCGCCGGAGGCTGGGGAGACGGGGCCCTGGCGGGGGCTGGTGGAGGGGACGCAAGGGGGTGAACCCCACCGCGGGCGGCTTGCGCTTCAGGGATGGCCGGCGGAGGAGCGGAGGAAGCCTTGCTCCACCACGACTCTTCCAAGGACGAATAGAAATTACCGCATTGCAGCATGGGGGCGAGGGGGGGGTGTTAGAAAACAGGAAAAGTGAAGCCCGAGGGAGAGGAGCCCCATGGGTCCGGTCTGCACCCGGGGCGGAGGCCGGGATGGACGGCGGGTGCTAGGGAAGGGTGGGCCTCCCGGAAGAGGCCACGTGCTAGTTGGTCTGAGCTGGAGACAGAAGGGTGAGGCTTCGGGATCAGAGACGTCTGCCCAGCAGGCCAGGGCAGCAAGCACCACCTCCGGCGGGTGGTGTCCCCGGGGACCAGAGGGGTCCGTGACGCCTCTCACCCACCCCGCCGAAGCTGGCCCCGCAGACCCAGCTGGGGCAAGGGTAGCTGGCCTCTTTGGTGAGGTCTCTGTGCTGTCTTGTCAGCAAGCACCCCGAGCGCCCCGATTCCTCCTCTTCCTCCGCACCCGCCCCCCGGCTCACAGCGCCCCCTCCCTGCCCCCGAAGCCCAGCTTTGGAGACCACTGGTAGGCAGCCCACGCTCTGGCCCTCGGACTGAGCCCGCGCCCTGTGGGGCTGTCCCTCCCATTTCTGGCCAGCACAGCGGATGGCAGAGAGTGCAGGGCCAGGCTTGCAGACGCCGAGGGAGGGGGGTGGCCTGTCCTGGTGGCTGGCAAGCGGCCTCTCCCAGGCTGCTCCTTTTCTGTCCTCAGAGCCGCTGGCGGGACCGCGGGGTGCCCGCTGCACCGGCCCCACGCTCGCCCCTGCCTTCCCTGTGGGGGACAGGCCTCAGGCGGTGGACTGGGTGCAGTGGCAAAGGGAACACCTGGGTAGCTGGCTGTGGCCCCGGGCGGGTGGGGGGGCTCAGAGATTCGTGCAGAGACAGGGCCTGCAGTAGAGGAGGGGCCGCTGCCTGCCCTCCACGGGCCCGCTGCTCCGGCACCTGCCACTTCTTCCTGGGCGGAGGCTCGGTCATCGGCTCGAGACACCTGTGGCAGCCTGATGGCCGACGCGACCGCGGGAACATGCCCACTTGGGGGAGCGAAGGGGTCCCCGTGCGGCTGGCCCAGGTGCCTTTCTCTCTGTCCCTGGGGAGATGTCATAGGGCTCCTTCCATACGGCTGGGCTTGGAAGGACAAACCAGAGTACTTTTTCTTTAATGTTTATTTTTGCAAGAGAGAGACAGAGAGACAGAGAGAGACAGAGCACGAGCAGGGGAGGGGCAGAGAGAGAGGGAGACAGAATCCGAAGCAGCTCCAGGCTCTGAGCTGTCAGCACAGAGCCCGATGCAGGGCTTGAACTCAGGTACTGTGAGATCATGACCTGAACTGATGTTGGATGCTTAACCGACTAAGTCACACAAGTGCCCCTAATGTCTATTTATTTTTGAGAGAGACAGAATTGAGCAGGGGAGGGTCAGAGACAGAGGGAGACACAGAATCTGAAACAGGCTCCAGGCTCTGAGCTGTCAGCACAGAGCCCAACGTAGGGCTCGAACCCACGAACCCCAAGATGATGACCTGAGCTGAAGTCGGACGCTTAGCCAACTGAGCCCCCCAGGCGCCCGCAGAATACTTTCTCATGAACTGTCCTCCCTGCTGCTCTATCTGCCTGGAGCCCTCCCTCCCCAACTTGGCCAGACCCTAACCACTCACCCCTGTGGACCCCCCTCAAGGGCCGCCACTTCCTCCCGTTGCCAGCACTGGGCTTGCCAAGCAGCCGAGCGCACTCTCTCTTCCGACAGCACAAAGCATTTCGCTGCGTGTCCTCCGTGGCGTTTGGCACTCCGGCCGCTTGGTCGTTTGTGATCTGGGCTCTGTACACGCACACCTGCGCACACGTGCACACACGCATGCACACACCTGCGCACACCTGCACACACGCTCACACACACTGTGACTCCCTTGAGGACAGGTACTGTTTCTCTCTGCTTGGCTGGGTTTTCGGCTGAATGGTGCTCGGGAAATGGCGTCATGAGTGAGTGCAGTGTCACGTCCCCCAGAGAGAGGACCAGACGACACAAAGCCTCAGTTCCCGCTGTGGCCCGGCAGCTGCTCCTGGCCGGTCCTGAGCCTCCGTGAAGGGAGGGGCCCGGCCGACTGTGAGGCCCTCCCAGCTCCGAGGTTCCAGATTCTAGAACTCCGCTCACCCGCTCTGTCTTCCCGACGCAGACGGGCCTGTGTGCGCCTCCCATGAGCAGAGACGTCCCCGAGCTGTTCCTTGCGGGTGGAGACGTCGCGCCTCAAGGCCACACTCACCGCCACCTGTCTGTGGGGGAGCCCGGAGCGCAGCTGGAGGAGGAGGAGCAGCAGGGGACAAGGAAGGAGGGGGATGGCTCCCACGCTGTGCCGCTCCGACGCTCAGGGGCCTTCCGTGCCCACAGCCACAGCTACAACCCCCTCAAAAGACATAGCTGGGGGCCAGACAGGAACCTCCAGGACCCACTGAGCAGGTAACCCCGGAGGGCTTCCTGCCCCTCCTTCCCTCAAGCCCTTGGCCCAGGAGCCAGGAGCCGGGCAGCAATGACGGGGCTGAGGGCACTCGGAGAGCCCGCGCCCCTCAGGCCTTTGGGGAGGGTGAACCCTGCCTTTCTTCCTAGCAGCCCCAGCTCCTCCCCTGTAATCCTGGGGGGGGGTGGAGGAGGGGGAGGGGCAGCACAGACGGGGGGCGGTGCTGCCTCCCCCTCCCGCTTTGGGTTTCACAGACCTGCACAGGGGTGTCAGAGCTGGAAGGGACCCGGGGATCGTGTGGCCCCATCCCCCATTTTGCTGCTGAGGAAAGTGAGGTGCAGACAACCTCGGGAGGTTCCTCGGGCAGCGTTCTGGGGGGTGGGCACGGCCGCCCACCTGCTGGTTCCAGGCTGACGCAGACATCACAGCGCCGCCCTGCTGGGGGTGGGGGGGCAGCCACTTCTGCTCAGAGGTCTGCGTGCCTGTGCTTGTCAGAAGGCAGGGACCCCGTCTGTCCCCCTCCCCTGGAAAGTCCCCGACCGCTTCCCCAAGGACAGAGGAGGCCGGAGAGAGAAGGTCCGGGGTCAGCCTGGAGCGCTAGTGAGCGGTCACCGTGAGGGCCTGCGGCCGCGGAACACGGAAGGGCACGGCCTCTCTGCTCTGCTGGTGGCCGCCACGGACAGCTTCCCGGCTCCGTGAGCAGGCCCACCGCTGTCCCCTGGGCACGGCTGGCTGAGCTGGCTGAAAGGGGAGGACGCCGTGCCGTGTCCCTCACCTGGCTTGCTGGCAGCTCAGGTGGGAAACCTCGCCCGTGGGCTCCAGGCGCCTTCCCAGGGCAGCCAGTCGAAGGCAGAGATGCCTGGGTGCCCCTTAGGCGGTGCCAGCGTCATCTCAGGGTCTCTGGGGCGTTGCCTCTCACCATCAGGCACTGACTCTGCCCCTTGGGAGCCCTGGGCTGAGTGGGGACAGAGCGTGGCCTCTGCACCAGGCCTCACCCTCGCCCTTGACCTCTCCCTGGCGCTGGGTCCTTGCGGAGGACAGTACTGCCCGGAGGCCAGCAGGGGCCGCCCTTGTCCGCGGCTCTGCCAAAGCACAGCCCCAAAGGCCAGCCGAGGGTGCAGGTGTGCCGGCAGGGAGGCCTGGGCGGGGCCGTGTCCCTCCCTGGTGCCCGTCGCTCGCCACCAGGTACAGAGGGCAGCGGGGGGCCGTGTGTGTTTCAGGAACAAACTGCAGGGATCAGGATGCACGGACCCCGAAGAACCCGCCTTTCTGCCGAGCCCAGAGGAACAGGATGCCTTCCAGGATCTGCAGCACCAAGGTGGCCGGCCCTCCCTCGCGGTACGGACAGCAGGCCCCGCGGAGGCCAGCGCCTCCCTCCCCCGTCCTGCCCCACCCCGTGCCAGCTGCCGGGTCTGTGTGCCCAGGCATCGCTCTGACTCCCTCTGCCCGAAGCTGTGTCTGTGGTCCGGACGCCCTCTGTCTGCCTGCCTCTCGGGGTCTGCGTGTCCTGTCCCCGCTCTCGGCGTCCTGTCTCTTTCTTAAGACTCTCTGTCCCCTCCTTTCTGTGTCTGAGCTCTGCGCTGATGTGGGCATCTCCGTGCCTCTCATTGGCCTTTTATCACATTTCCCCTGTGATAACTGCTTCTTTCTGTGGACGCACATTCCTCGGTTTTGGAGCCGAACTTATACTTTGTGGGAAGAAACTAAGACAGAGGTTCCCTCACAGGATAATCAGACAGTAACGGAGTGAGAAACGGTACCGAGTCTCCCCGCCCTTCTGGCCTAAGGAAACATGTGGGGGGACTCAAGCCAGGACCTAGGGGCCCTGGAGAGGACACGGGGGCTTTAGGGGCACCCCTGGGCCTGCAACTCATGCTCTAGCTGGCCAGGGATGCCCAGCCAGCCTCCCCTGCCCAGCCCGCGGTTCGGGAGAGAGGTTGAGGGGAGGGGGCTGCGTGGGCCAGGCGGCAGCCCCCGCTGGGCCCATCTCACCCCGCCAGCCCCCTCCAGCCAGCGTCTCTGCTCCCCCCCCCCAACCCAGCATGGTGGTGCGGCAGAAAGACCAGGGCTGGGGAGTCAGACCAACTCCCAGATCCTTCATTTACTGGCTGAACAATTTATTTCATCTCTCTGAAAACAGGATAATAAAAACTATTTTTAAAAGATTTATTTACTTATTTTGAGAAGGAGAGAGACAGAGAATGAGAGAGAGAAGAGAGAAAGCAGGGGAGGGGCAGAGAAAGAGAGGGAGAGAATCCTAAGCAGACTCTGCACTGTCAGTGTGGAGCCCGGAGTGGGAATCGAACTCATAAACCGTGAGATCACAACCTGAGTAGGACTTAAGAGTCAGACACTTAACCAGCTGAGCCACCCAGGCGCCCCTAAAAACTGTCTTTTAAAGTTGTGATTATTTTGGGGGGGGAATGCTGTTACAGCGCCCAGTACTGAGCTGGCACACAGGCTGAGCGTGAGAAATCACGGTTTCTTCCCCGCTTCCCGCTGCCCTGTGAGGCGTTCCCTCCCCCTTTCTCTGCTTTGCTTTCTCCTTCCTGCCTTCCTGCTCTGCTTCCTCCCCTGTCTTCTAATCTTTAGGCACTCTCCTAAATCTCCCCCAGCCTACACGTCGGCCTGTTTGTTCCTCCCTCCAGAACAAGTGTGTATAAACTCCACCAAGGTCCACAGTCAAAAAAGTCCTGAGACTCGCCAGGCCGGCCCAAAGCGTGCAGACTTGATGGTGTATGAGCCGAGTCCAGAACTTCCTCTGTTTGGCCATCACAGAGCCGACAGTTTAAGATCCAGATGTCTTTTTTTTTTTTTTTTTCTGATGGACTCCATGCTCCGTGTGGGACTTGAACTTGCAACCCTGAGCTCAAGGGCTGTACCCCCACTAACTGAGCCAGCCAGGTGCCCCCAAGACTCAGGGGTCTCAAAAGGGACCTGTGCTGTTTGGCTTGCCAGAGTGGACACTACCCTCTACTGTGTCCTGTATTTTAGTTTTATTTAAAAAATTTTTTTTCATGTTTATTTTGCTTTTGTGAGAGACAGAGACAGAGCATGAGCAAGTGAGGGGCAGAAAGAGGGAGACACAGAATCTGAAGCAGGCTCCAGGCTCTGAGCTGTCAGCACAGAGCCCGACGCGGGGCTTAAACCCACGAACCCTGAGATCATGACCTGAGCCGAAGTCGGGCGCTTAACCCACTGAGCCACCCAGGTGCCCCTTTATTTTTTTAAAGTTTATCTATTTTTGAGAGAGACCGAGACAGCATGAGCAGGGGAGGGGCGGAGAGAGAGGGAGATAGAGAATCCCAAGGAGGCTCGAGGCTGTGAGGACAGAGCCCAACGTGGGGTTCAAACCCACGAACCATGAGATCATGACCTGAGCCGAAGTCGAGCGTTAACCGACTGAGCCACCCAGGTGCCCCCCCCCCCCACTTTGTTTTTGAAATATGTTTGAAATTGAATGTGCAATATCAGCTGCCCTTCTCAAGACCTAGTTTACACCACCAGTGCCTGCAGCAACTCATCTGATCTTTCTCTCCTCTCCTACTTCCTTGCCTGTCCCACCCCCAGAGATAATCACTATCTTGAATTTTCTTTATCACTCATTTACATTTTTAATACAAATATATGCATTACCTAAGAACATGTTTTTTGTTGCTGAATTTAAAAACAATGATGATATATTGTACAAAATTGTCTATAAGTTACATGTTCATTGAACATTCTAATTTTTATCTGTGTCCTGCAGATGGTTAGAGCTCATGAATTGCCATTTCATTCTTCTGCTGATGAACGTTTAGATAATGCCCACTCTTTGCTATCATGAAGAGTGTCACTATGAACATCCTTTTATCTATCTTCTGTGCACATTTGTAAGAATTTCTCCAGGGTGTAGACCCTGGAGTGGAGTTGTCAGGTCACAGAGTGCTGTCAATCTCACGAGATCATGGCAGACTGTTTCTACCTTCGTCAGCAGGAAATGAGAGTCCCTGTTGATCCAAATCACTTCCAACGTTTGGAGTCATCAGAATTTTTTTTTCAAAAATTTTTAATGTTTTATTTATTTCTGAGAGACAGAGAGGCAGCGTGAGCAGGGGAGGGTCAGAGAGGGGGCGAGACAAAGAATCCGAAACAGGCTCCAGGCTGTAAGCTAGCTGTCAGCACAGAGCCTGACATGGGGCTCGAACCCATAAACCGTGAGATCATGACATGAGCCGAAGTCAGACGCTTAACCGACTGAGCCACCCAGGTGCCCCGGAGTCATCAGAATTCTTAATGTTGCGAGTCTAGTGGTTGCAAATCTCTTTGCAGTATTAATTTGAATTATTTTTATTACAAATGCGATTGAGCTTCATTTCATACCTAATAGGTCATTCATCTTTCCTCTTCTGTGAAATTCCTCTTCCTGTCTTTTGCCCAAGTCCATCATTTGTTGTTATATGTGTTGCAATGAACTTGTCACAAAATGGGGAAAAGTGGTTTGTCTTTTCCTTTTCCCGTAGCAACTTTACATAAACAGAATTTCTTAATTTTTATTTTTTTGTTTATTCATTTTTTAAACACTTTATTTTATTTTATTTTTTAATGTTTTATTTATTTATTTATTTATTTATTTATTTATTTATATTTCTAGGAGAGAGAGAGAGACAGTGTGAGCAGGGGAGGGTCAGAGAGAGAGGGAGTCACAGACTCTGAAGCAGGCCCCAGGCTCTGAGCTGGCTGTCAGCACAGAGCCTGACGCGGGGCTTGAACCCACAAACCGTGAGATCATGACCTAAGCGAAAGTCGGACGCTTAACCGACTAAGCCACCCAGGCGCCCCACTTTATTTTATTTTTAAGTAATCTCTATACCCAACACGGGGCTTGAACTTATAGGCCTGAGATCAAGAGTCACACATTCCACAGATCAAGACAGCCAGGCACCACTGACTTTGTTTTGTTTTGTTTTGTTTTTTAAAGATTATTTATTTATTTTGAGAGTGAAGGTGGGGGGCAGAGAGAGGGATACAGAGAGAATCCCAAGCAGGCTCCACACTGTCAGGGTAGAGCCCAATGCAGGGCTCAAACTCACAAACTGTGAGATCATGACCTGAGCCAAAATCAAGAGTCAGACACTTAACCAACTGACCAACCACTACCCAGGTGCTTCCCGCCCCAAATTTCTTAATTAGAAAAAATTTCTTGAGGCATACCATGTATGCAAAACATGCATTAAAACATGTTTAATAGATGCCTGGGTGGCTTACTTGGTTAAGCTTCCGACTACAGCTCAGGTCATGATCTCACAGTTCATGGGTTGGAACCCCGCACCAAGCGCTCCACTCTCAGTGTAGGGTTCTCTTTGGATCCTCTCTCTCTCTCTCTCTCTGCTCTTCCCTTGCTCATACTCTCACTCTCTCTTTCTCTTTCTCAATAATAAATGAACATTTACAATGGATCTACAGAGTAATTTAGGAAAAGTGGACATTTGTACAATATTGCGTGTTCCTATCCATGAAAATAGTACACCTCTCCAATATCATTTTTTTCTGTGCAAATTTTGTGGATATAGATTTATTCTTAGGTATATTATACTTCTTTTGTCAAGTTTAAAAGTTTAGTCATTCTGGTGGGTGTCTTAGAGGTATCTTGTTTTTTTTAAAATATTTTTTATTGTTTTATTTTTGAGAAAGAGAGAAAGAGTGCAAGCAGGGAAGGGGCAGAGAGAGAGAGGGAGACACAGAATCCAAAGTAGGCTCCAAGCTGTCAGCACAGAGCCTGATGTGGGGCTTGAACCCACGCACCATGAGATCATGACCTGAGCCTAAGTTCCATGCTCAACCAACTGAGCCACCTAGGGGCCTCTCATTTTGGTTTTAATTTGCATGTCCCTGTTGAAAAATTTTGTTGGACATTTTTTCATATTTTTTTAAGTTTATTTAGTTCAGAGAGAGAGAACAGAGGGGCAGAAAGAGGAGAGAATCTCCAGGCTCCTTGCTGTCAGCACAGAGTCCAATGTGGGGCTCGAATTCATGAACAGTGAGATTATGCTGAGCTGAAATTGAGTTGGATGCTTAACAGACCAAGCTACCCAGGCACCACTCCTATTACTTTAAAAAATATATTTGTTTATTTATTTATTTTAAGTTTTTAAATGTTTTATTTATTTCTGAGAAAGAGAGAGATAGTGTGAGCAGGTGAGGGTCAGAGAGAGAGGGAGACACAGAATCTGAAGCAGGCTCCAGGGTCTGAGCTGTCAGCACAGAGCCTGATGCGGGTGTTGAACCCACAAGCCATGAGATCATGACCTGAGCCGAAGTCGGACGCTTAACCAACTGAGCCACCCAGGCGCCCCTCTTTATTTACTTTTTGAGAAAGAGACAGAACATGAGCAGGGGAGGGGCAGAGAGAGAGGGAGACACAGAATCCGAAGCAGGCTCCAGGCTCTGAGCTGTCAGCACAGAGCCTGATGAGGGGCTGGAACTCATGTGAGATCGTGACCTGAGTCGAAGTTGGATACTTAACTGACTGAGCCACCCAGGAGCCCCTTATTTAAAAACATTTTTAAAAAATTTTTTTAATGTTTTATTTATTTCTAGGAGAGAGAGAGAGAGAGAGACAGCGTGAGCAGGGGAGGGTCAGAGAGAGAGGGAATCACAGACTGAAACAGGCTCCAGGCTCTGAGCTGGCAGTCAGCACAGAGCCCGACGCAGGGCCCGAACCCACGAACCACGAGATCATGACCTAAGCGAAAGTCGGACGCTCAACCGACTAAGCCACCCAGGTGCCCCATAAACATTTTTTTTTTCAAATAATCATTTTAAGGCCACAAATTACCCTTTAAATGCCACTTTGGCCATCTCCCACAAGTTGTGTTCTGTAGTTCAATAGTATTTTCATTAGATACAGTATGTCATAAAACATCTTTGAATTTCCATTGTGATTTCTTTATTTTTTGTCCAGTAAGCCTATTTAGAAGAGTGTTTTAAATTTTCTAAATCTATAGAGATTATTTTAAAACGTAAAACATTTTTGAGACATAACAAATATACAGAAAAAATAAAACTTGCCTGTAGAATATAATGAACTGTTAGGAAGCAAATAGCCGTGGGGGCCCCAAGTTGTACAGGAAACCCTAGAGCATTACTCAACCTGCACGGGCCTCGTGCCCTTGGCGGCCGTAACCTTTGCTCTCCTGTCAGAGATGACCACTTTCTAGACTTTTTTCCTTTAAGATATTATTTTTAAGTAATCTCTGCACCAAATGTGGGGCTCGAACTCATGACCTCGAGATCAACAGTCCCACGCTCCACCGACTGAGCCAGCCAGGCGCCCCACTTTACTTTTGAGCTCGATTTTCCTAATAGATTTGCCACCGTCATATGCACCTCTAAACAATATTAGTTTTCCTTATTTTATTTATTTATTTATTTTAATGCTTTATTTATTTCTAGGAGAGAGAGAGAGACAGCGTGAGCAGGGGAGGGTCAGAGAGAGGGGGAGACACAGAATCTGAAACAGGCTCCAGGCTCTGAGCTGGCAGTCAGCACAGAGCCTGAGGTGGGGCTCGAACCCACGAACCGCGAGCTCATGACCTGAGCCGAAGTCAGACGCTTAACCGACTGAGCCACCCAGGCACCCCTATTTATTTTATTTTTAAGTTTTCCTTACTTTAAACTTTATGAGAATATAACCATCCAGTATATACATTTTGTGTGTCTTGATTCTTTCACTCGATGTTATGTTTGTGAGATTCATCCATATTGTAGGGTGACCTGTGGCTTGTTCATTTTCATTTTCAATTAGTATTTTGATGTGTGAATACATCCCAGATCCCTCATCTGGTCCATTGGAAGGGGATTTCTGGTTTGTTTCCTATGTTCTCTATGATACAGATTATTTGAAATGTGTTAAAATCTGCCTTCTGGGGCGCCTGGGGGGCTCAGTCGGTTAAGCTTCTGACTTCGGCTCAGGTTATGATCTCACGGTTCGTGGGTTCGAGCCCCGCGTCGGGCTCTGTGCTGACCGCTCAGAGCCTGGAACCTGCTTCAGATTCTGAGTCTCCCCCTCTCTCTGCCCCTCCCCTACTCATGCTCTGTCTCCTTCTCTCTCAAAAATAAATAAACACTAAAAAATAAAAAGTGCTTTGCCTGTGGAGTGCTTCGCATAGGCTTGAGAAAAATATTTCTTTCCTAATGGTTGGGTGTTTGGTTCATGAATACTCCTCCTGCCTTTTGCCTTAAATCCAGGCTGTCTCTGTTGTTTCATTTCATTTTGTTTGTTTGTTTTTATTACCTGCCTGGCCTCCGTAGCTTGAGTCTGTCATCTCTGGAAAGCCTTCAGGGTAAATTTTTTCTCAGACATTTTCTGTATTGGGCTCGAACTGCAGCGGAGTGGTGAATGCCAGACAGCAGGGGTAGCTTCCCAAGGGTTTCAGGGGGAAGCTTGCAGATGTGGGTGGTGTGGATGGTGGACGGCCTGAGGCCTGAAGACAGGCCCTTTGTGGGGGAGTGGAGAGCTGGGGAGCCGGAGGGGTGAGGCCTGACTTTGAGTGAGGATTCTTGACGCGATTCTAGGACCAGAGCTGGTGCCATCCGTCTGCCGGCCCTTTGGACCCCTCGGCCCCTGGCATGCTGCCCAAGTCTGCGTCCATGAGTGGCATCAATTGCTGCTCTGATCCGGCTGGTGAGTGAAGGTGGGAGGCAGTGGAAGTCCCGCCCCCTCCCTGTCGCCGCCACCATCTCTCACCGCCAGCTGCCTGGGGTCTGGATGTCCTGGGTTCTGCTGAACCACACGCCCCTTGAAAACACCAAATGCCTTCATTCCGATGAGAGGTCTGATTTCAGGACTTTGGCATTCCGGGGCTCTCCTTCCAATGAAGGAGGACATAGGACAGAGTGCGGCTCTCCGTGCCCCCCCCCCCCCCCCCCATCGCAGGAGATGGAGGACAGTTACCTGCGATGTACCTTGTCCTCAAGATGAGGCACTGGAGGCGGTGTGAGAGACCTCTGCTGTCTCCATTCCGCAGAGACGGAGCTGAGGCTTCAGGCCCCAGCCCCCTGGGCACACAGTCCCGGGCTCCGCTCCCCGGCCCCTCCGCTCTTCAGCGCTCACTGCTCAGACCCCCACCCCCACCCCCGGTCACATGCACCTGCAGCGTGGGAACCTGATCCAGGTGGAGGCGGTGGGGGAGGCGGCCCCGGGCGTCTTTGTCTGGCTTTAGCTGGACACTTGTCGTCTGCTTTTGTGTTGCAGGGAACTTATTACACCAGTTCTCTACCGACCTCAGCCGAAGGTGAGTCTGGGAGATCCAGAGCCCTTCGGAGGCCCCGACGGAAGAGGAGCAGTGGGACTGGGGTCCGTGGACCTTGGAGCTCCGAGGGCCCCTCTTTCTGAAACATCGCTCCCTTTACCATTTCCGATCCTAAGCCTCCGAGAGTCCCTCTCCCCGAGCTTTACAGAACCCCCCTCCCCTCATTCAGGGGCCGGGAGGGCCTCAGGGCTCCCAGTAGTCTCATGGGACAGCGAAGCGATTAGGCAAAGAAAAGGAGTCTCCAGACCCCAGGCTGGCGGACAGCGGACAGGGACAGCGGGAGAGGAGCCGCTTGCTGTTGTCAGTGCGGGAAGAGGGGTGGGCAGATGAGCTGCTGGACAGTCTCAGGGGAGAGCCGGTGCCCAGTGACCCCGTGGATCAGGCTCGGAGGTTCCGGTAGATAATTGACCAATGGGGAGTGGCTCTGAGGAGAGCCGGGCAGGGGCTGCGGAGCCCTGGCTGCAGGGCAGGGGCTGAGGCCCAGCTCTGGAGCCGCCGCGGGGGCGGGGAGACCCAAGCACACAGAGCCAGCACCGCTCCTTTGGCTCCTGCTGCGGAAGCCTGGTCAGAGCGGCCGGGCCTCCCGGACGGTGCGGCTGACCGAGCTGGCCAGGGCCCTTTAAGATGCCAAGCTCTGATTTGTGACCCTGAAAATCTCTAGCTGACACATCCTCCTGGCTCTGGGTTTGGGATTAGCTCATGGGATGGGGCTGATGAAATCCCAGGAAATCCACTCCTTCTTGGCTTTGGGCCCAGAGGCCCTTTCCAAACTGCAGAGAGGGTCGCGCAGGGTGCTCTTGAGTTTTGAGCGGAACATGCCCCGCCGGAGAGGCCTCAGCCCGCATCTTCCGTCAGGAAACAGTTAGGAGGAGGCCGGGCCTGAGTTAGGTGGGAAGGGGGAAGGGTCTGCATTTATCTGGGAGGAGCCTGGAGTTTTCCCCGCACACGGAGGTGCCTGGGCATCGGCTTTCCACATCCGGGAGGAGGGGTGGGGCGAGGGGGCTTCTCTCCGTCCTTCCTCAGATCTCCCTTCTCCCCTCCTGGCCATGGCGCCTTCGGCCACCGTCTCTCTGGGAACATCTTGTTTTTCTTTTCCAGCTCAGGCTCCATCGCTTCACCTCTTCTTTTTCTTTCTGCAGCTGTAGCCAACTGGAAGGGGGCTCAGGTACCTCGGCGGGCTCCCCCCTGCGCCGGACCCTCAGTTTCCTCCTGGGCATGACCGGAAAGGCCAAGGTAGGAGTCGGCGGGGAAGCAGGAGGCCTGCCCCTCCCCCGCTCTGCACCCCACCTTCCACTCTGTCCCCGAACTTCCCTGGAGACAGACATCCAGGGCAGTGGTTCAGGCTTGGAGGGTGCCGCATGCCTTCTCTCCCAGACTCCCCCCTGCATTCCGCAGGGCGCGGGGGGGAGGGTCACCTTTCCTCTCCTCTCCTCTGCCCCCGGATCGGCAGGCAGCTGGGGACAGCGGGGGGAGGGGAGGAGGGGCCGAGCCCTACCTCTCTCCGGCCTCACGTGGCTGAGAGGTGGGCCGCACAGAGCGGAGCCACCGGGCAGGATACTGACAGTAATCACAGCAATACTTCTTCCTTCTTCGGAGAGTATCGGGGTTTGCAAAGTGCCTCTCCACTCGTAACTGCACGGGTGGCTGCAGCAGCTGGGGGAGGTGGGATCGGACCCCAGGCGGGGTGGCAACCGGGAAAGCACGTGGCTGTGGAAGCACACGCTCGCAGCCGGGTGTGCGAGGCCACGGCCAGTTCTGACCCCAGGAAGGTGAGCCATTGGGCCGGGTCCCTTGTCACCGCGAGCCCGGGAGCCTGTCTGTTGCTCCAGCCCCTTTCCACTTTCTTCACTTCCTGGTGGAAAGAGGCACCCCCGTTTCCTCCCAGGGGCTCCCCAAGTATGCATGTGCTTTCCGACCGGGGGGCGCTGCTGAGCGTGGAGACACCCCGTGGAGAAAACCTCCCTCCTCCCCCAGGGGAGCGCAGGGTTCACACCCCGGGAAGTCTCTGGGTTCCTGGCGGCCTCACCCACGGGCCGGGCTTGCTCCCCGCCAGCCTTTGGCCTTCCTCCGGGTGCACAGGCGACGCAGAGGAGAACCCCGCTTGCTGGCACCTTCTCACGGGCCTGAGCGGGGAGTTTGAGGGGTTGGACCAGGCAGTGTGAGCAGGAGCAGCTGGGGGTGGGGAGGGCAGGGGGGCCATGAGCCCGCTTTTCTCCCACTGGGGACTTAGCTCTCCAGGGACCCGGGGCCTCTGGCCAGTGTCCCCAGGGGCTCTCAGCCCTCTGAGAGAGCCGCCCTCTTCCCCCCACCCCCGCAGCGGGAATTGGCAGGGGGAGTGGCAGGGGGAGTCGGTGCTGCCTGGTGGGGGGGGCATCCCGATTTCCAGGGGCGTGTATTTGCCCACCCTCATCCCAAGTTCGATGACGGTAAAATAACCAGGTGACGGGGACTGTGGGCTGCATGGGACCCAGACAGGCAGCGAGAAAGAGTCAGGATCTGGCCAGATTCGCCCTTCCCGCCGGCGTCTCCGGTCCAGGGCTCTTGCAGCCTCACCAATGCCTGTGCCCGCCTCCCGAAGCCCCTTCCCCTCCTCCCAGGAAGCCCCTTCCCCTCCTCCCAGCTCGGTCCTGGCCGGTCAGCAGGGGGGGCGGGGCTGGAGAGAGGAAGTGGCTTATTCCTTCCTATTTGACCAGAGACACGGAGGTGGACAAAACACTTTTCCAGAGCCCATCCCATTTCATTCTCATACCACTCTGACAAAGATAAGTATTTTAATCTCCATTTTGTAGACAAGACAACGCAGAGGCTTAGGTACCTGCCCGAGATCCTAGCTACCAGGAGGGAGGGCTGTATTACAGACCCAGAGCTTTTTAAAAAGATTTTTATTTTATTTATTTATTTTAATTTTTAAAATAGTTCTTAAATTTATTTTTGAAACAGAGAGAGAGAGAGCGTGCGCGCGCCCGCATGAGCGGGGGAGGGGCAGAGAGAGAGGGAGACACAGAATCCGAAGCAGCTCCAGGCTCTGAGCTGTCAGCACAGAGCCCGACGCGGGGCTCAAACCCATGAACCGCGAGATCATGACCTGGGCCAAAGCCAGATGCTTAACCGACTGAGCCACCCAGGCGCCCTGTGGGACGTGGGGATTCAAAGCCGGAGCGCCTTCACCTCTGAGCCATCACTGGGTGTCCTGAGACTGGCCTGTGGGCCGCGCTCTGGCCGCGTTTCTCTCGCCAGGCTGGTTCCTGCCCTGGGAGGTCTGGGGAGCCCTGAGGGCGGGCGCTGTGAGTGGCATCTCCCACCACACGAGGGGGACCGTGGAGGTNAGCCCGACGCGGGGCTCAAACCCATGAACTGTGAGATCATGACCTGAGCTGAAGTCGGATGCTCAACCGACTGAGCCACCCAGGCGCCCCTATTTTATTTTATATTAAATTTTTTTAAATGTTTATTTCTGAGAGAGAGACACAGAAGAGACAGAGCGTGAGGGGCAGAGACAGAGGGAGACACACATTCCAAAACGGGCTCCAGGCTCTGAGCTGTCAGCGCTGAGCCTGATGCAGGCTCAAACCCACAAACTGGGAGATCATGACCTGAGCTGAAGTCAATGCTTAACCGACTGAGCCACCCCTAACGATTCTTATTTTAAAGTAATCTCTAGGGGCGCCTGGGGGCTCAGTCGGTTAAGCGTCCAATTTCAGCTCAGGTCATGATCTCACGGTTCGTGGGTTCGAGCCCCACGTCGGTCTCTATGCTGACAGCTTGGAGCCTGGAGCCTGCTTCAGATTCTGTGTCTCCCTCTCTCTCTGCCCCTCCCCACCTCAAGTTCTGTCTGTCTCTGTCTCAAAAAGAAATAAACATTAAAAAAATAACAAAGTAATCTCTCCATCAAACGTGGAGCTTGAGCTCACAATCCAGAGGTCAAGAGTTTCAGGCACTGGTGATGACTACTTTTAGGTTCTGGCAGAAATTAGGGTTCCCTTTTGTTTTGGGGTGCCTAAAATAATTTCTGAAAATAATGGGAAGTATCAGTGGATAGGAGTGGGGCGGGGATGCGACGCAAGGGTTTAGTTTTTGAAGTGTTCCTAGGGATGCAGAAGATGAAAATTAAGTCCAGCACAGGCCTAGCTCTCCAAGAGCCCAGCCGTTCCTCAAGGTAGACGGGTTTCCTGCACCCACTCGCAAGCCCCCTTCCTGGCCACCCGTCTCCTAAGTGCAAGAGGCGGACACTGGATGAGGGGCAGGCTGGGATGCAGAGCTCACAGGATGGGGGTGCAGGCAGAAAAGGGCTGGAGCCTTAGGTCTGCTTCTTGCACAGGCTTTCTGAGTCTGCGGCCGAGTTCCCTCAAGTCCTGGGATTCAGGGCCTGGCCTCATGGCTCCGCCCGCTGCGTGCCCACTGCAGTGTGGCCCTTTAAGATTCCATCTTTAGCTTGTGTCTCTCCCACCCTAGGCCTGGGAGAAAAGTTCAGGTCCTGGCCCACCCCTGGTCCCTGGGCCCCTGGTGGGTGGAGCCATGTGGCCAAGGTTCTGGCTTCTGGTCATCTGTTCTGTTTTTAAACTTAGTACATTCCTCAGCCCTGCCTGCTCACTGCTGGGCGGTTAAGTCTGGGGTTCCAGGCCTGGATTGCTGGTTTGGGGGAGTTCCTAGGGCCTTCCCGGAAGGTCTCCCCTGCAGGTGCAAGCCTGCAAGAACCAGCCTCCCTCCTGGCCCTGGGAAAGTCCTTTCTGCTTTCTAATCTCCATGCAGCCTAAAATGGGTTTATCGCGTCTCCTATTTTCTGATCTTTGCAGGACCCGGATTCTTAACCAGTGGAATGGGTGAGGAAGGAGGTGACGAGGCGTTAGGCAGGAGGGAGGCTAGGGCAGCAGCGTGGAGGTGGTGCTGGGGGTGAGGAGCCCCACGGGCTCAGCCACCGGTGAGGCAGCGGGTCCCAAAATAGTGGCAGAGGCTAAAATCGGCACCTAAGGGGAGTGGTGAGCTGGGCTGGAAAACCTCTGCGGGCGCTGCCGCTGGTCCATCTGGGTTGGCGCTCCTCTCCCTGCCCCCACTCCCCCCGCACCTTTTGGGACCAGAATCAGGCAGGACCGTGCAAACACAGGGTGCTCTGCCCCAAGGCTCTGCAGAGAAATGCGAGAGCCTGAGAGGCAGAAATGAGCCGCAGCGTGAATGACTTGTAGTCAGATTGGGGGAGGAAGTTTGCAGCAGCAGGAAACTCAGCAAAGGTGGTGGAGGCTGGCTGGGGCCGCGGCCGACGGCCCCGAAAGAACGCCCCGCTGCACGCGGCCTCTTGTGCCGACCCTGGCCAGGCCCCGACTGCCCCCGGACCCGGGCGGGCCGCTGTCCAGTCTTTGGGCCCCGGCCTAACTGCCAACGGGAGGGAAGCGGGGTTAGACACCAGGAAGGACTTCCCCGGCCTCCCAGAGGGGGCGGGGCCCGGGCCGGGGGCGGGGCCGAGGCGGGGCTCGGGCCGAGGGCGGGGCGGGGGGCTCGCGGGAGAGTCCTCGGGCGCGCACCCTCGCCTCCAAGCCCGGTAAAGACCGGCCTCTCGCTTCCCCTCGCTTCCCCCGCCCTCCCCCTGCCCTGCCCCCGGCGGCGCGCGGGGCCTGGCGGCGCGGGCGGCGGGGCTCCCTGCAGAGCGCGCGGGGCGGGGGGTACGCGGGGCTCCAGGAGGAGGTCGGCGCGGGCAGGGCGCGGGCAGGGCGCGCGGGGCCGGCGGGGCGAGCGGCGGCCGGCGCCCCGGGCCCGGCCCGGCGGCCCCCGCCCCCGGCCCGCGGGGAGGCTCGCGTTTGAGGAACTGCGCGGGGCCGCGCGCGCGAGCCGCCTTCCTGTCCCGGGACCGCCCGCCGCCGCCGCGACCATGTCTCGGATCGAGTCGCTCACGCGCGCGCGGACCGAGCGGAGCCGGGAGCTGGCGAGCAAGGTGGGCTCTGGGGGCGCGGGGCGGCCGGGCCGGGAGGGAGCGTCGGGCCCGGGGGGGTGGGGGGCGCCCCGCGCCGCGCCCCCGCCCCCACCCCCTCCCGGCCCGGCCGCCCGGAAGAAAGTTGCTCCGGGAAGGGACCGCGCGGGAGGAGGGAGGTGCGCGTGTCGGCTGGGCTCCCCTCGGCCCGGGGCCCCTGCGCCCCGCGGTCGCCGGCGTGCTCGGCCCCCTTTGTCCCCGCCATCCGGCGCTGGGGCCGGGAGGGGTGGTTTCCCGGTTCCTCCTGCCGCCGCTCCCCGCCCCCCACCCCAGA